CTCTTCCGATCTCCCCAAAACCCCAAAACCCCAAAACCCCAAGTATAAAATATGAAGAAACTTTGGAGTGACAGATGATCACTTTTTTAATCAAATTGAATATTGATATATATAATCAATTTAAATTCAAATCAAAAACTAATCAATATGTCTGACGAAGAACATATCTTTTTAGCAAGAGTTGCTGAGCAAGCTGAGAAATTCGAGGATATGGTAAACTACTTGAAGCCAGTCTTAGATAGCAAGGGTGCTGCTTTAAGCACAGATGAGAGAAACCTCTTAAGTGTAGCCTTCAAGAGTTTGATTTCTTCAAAGAGAGCAGCCTGGAGAACTATCACTGCCATTGAGCAAAACCCCAAGTACCAAAAATTCGGAGATGCCCTCGGAGCCTACAAGAAGAAAATCGAGAGCGCTCTCTATGCTGATTGTGAACACATCATCGACATCGTTCAATCAAAGGTACTAAGCAAGAGTTCAGAGGAGGAGCCAAGAGCTTTCTTTGTCAAAATGGTCGGAGATTATTATAGGTATATTGCTGAGACCGCTCAAGGAGACAAACTTGAACAGGTTAAGCAAGCTGCTTTGAAGGCTTATGATGAAGCCAACTAGATTAGTCTCCCACCATGCAATCCAATCAAGTTAGGTCTAGCTCTGAACTTCTCAGTATTCTATTATGAGGTTATGAAGGATCAAAAGAGAGCATGTGAATTAGCAGAAGCAGCTTTGTCATTGGCTTTAGATAAGATCGATGAGATTTCAGAGGATGACTTCAGAGATGCCAAGTCAATTATTGAGCTTCTTAAGGAAAACCTTACTCTTTGGAAAGAAGAAGAAAGTGGATAGATTGATGACCTATGAGCAGTACTATCACATTAGTAATGATTATTGATAATTTCACATCACGTTCTTTATTCGTTTTCAAATCAATTCATTAATTAAATCGAATGTTCTTGAAAATTTCATAAAATTCAACCTCAGGGGTTTTGGGGTTTTGGGGTTTTGGGGTTTTGGGGTTTTGGGGTTTTGG